GTAGCTTTTAACCTGAATTGGTCCCATCAGGTCCATGTGAATCAGTTCCATGACGCGGTTTGTACTGACCTCTGCCAACCTCTTATGTGAAGCCCTTTTCTGCTTTCCCATTTGGCATGATCCGCAAATCCGTGGTTCTTTCTTTTTCAGCTTCGGCAATCCTCGAACAGCCCCTGTGGAAGAAAGTTCAATCAGGTGAGGATAGTTAATGTGACCTAGTTTTTGATGCCATAGTTCAGTCAAATCAACACTGGTTTTATTACATTTCAAGTCAAGTTCCACAAGATAGCAATTATCCCTGGACCTAGTACCAGTGAGAACATGTTTGTTTTCTTGATCAGACACATGACACTGAGTTTTAGTAAAGTTCACATACAAACCCTGATCACATAATTGACTGATACTCAAAAGATTTGCTTTCAGGTTTTGAACCAAAAGAACGTTTTTAAGTTTGGGCAGACCAGGAACATTCAAGCACCCAACTCCAAGAACTTTATTTTTTGCCCCATCACCAAAAGTGACAGAACTGGAAGAGACAGGCATAATATTGGTCAAGTTAGATCTCAGACCTGTCATATGACGAGAACAACCACTATCAAAATACCAATCAGAGTTGGATGTGGATTTCAAAGCAAGTATGGAGGATAGACAGAGGTTCTTACGATCCTTAGGAACCCAGATCTTTTTCTGTTCATGGTTCACTATATCAACTTTCAATTTGGGAGCTTCCAAAGGAACACCATGAGGACTCCAGTCATTAATCCGTCCCGTATAAATATCATTATGCATTCTATAGCATTTGGGACGAATATGACCGCGAATCCCACAGTAGTGACAAACAGGTACAAAGTTCTTACCAGTATTCTTGTGCTGAACCTTTGGAGAGTGTGACTTACCTTTTTTGGAGTCAAATGAGTGTACTTCTTTAACAAAAGTTAGATCGGCCTTACTCAGTGAAGAGCTTGATTCTCCAACCTTTCCTTTCAGTTTCTGATTCTGGACAGTCTTACTTGGGTTGGATGAACCAATCTGCTGACTCAGTTTTTGAACTTCAGCATATGATGCCCTTGGCTTGTTAATCATTCGAACAACTTCTTCACTCTTTTGCAATCTTTCTTCAAGGGTAGAACAGTGACTCCGAAGTGCCACATGTTCCTCCATTACCCGACCAAGTTCCTCCTTAGGAACCACTATTTCAGTTTCTCTTTCTCCAGCAAGACTTTGAACAGCAAACAGTTCGTTGCGCAGAGATTCAATGGTAAAACTCTGTTCTTCACTGGCCTGCTTGTTGAGTTTATCGCCGTGCTCAACCAGTGCTAGCTTTGCGAAACAACTGTTTAGGTCCTTGTCCTGTTTTCCAATGTGAAGGTCTGATCTGATGAGCTTCTCGTTCAAGTCAACCGTCATTACCCTCATCTTCTGGAGTTCGTTTCGAAGATACTCAATCTCTTTTTCACGTTCGGCATAACGTAATTCCACCGCCTTCATCTTCTATTTTTAGGGCCTGGTACTTGTTGATGATATCCCTTGCCTTGAGACACTTTTCAATGGCGTACTTGTGAAGTACAAGATTTTTGGCAGTAGGGTCTGAGAATTCATCAGAATCTACCTCGCTCAAATTTTTCGCGTAAGAACCTGCATCCGATTCAACATCAGGTAGATGAACAGAAGAAGAAAAGCAGTTGTACTCATTAAGAAAACATTTAGCAGAATTATTAGAGTAGTTAGAGTTCTCAGTCATCTCAGGTTCGTCCTCCTCGTCATCACTGGAGTCGGACCATGTAGCCTTGAATGTCTTATTCTTCTTCTTGAAATTAGGACACTCCTTTTGAAAGTGGCCAAATCCTTTGCATTCGCGGCATTGGTCTTTTTCTACTCCTTGGTTACCATTCTGAGGCTTGTTAAATTGCATGCCAGACTTCCTTTCTCCAAACTGCTGAATTTGGTTTCTGCCACCTTCAAAGGACCTGTTTCCCTGAAATCTCCTTTTTTGGAATTTCTTCAACTTCGAAACATTTTTGGTAAGCACGCTGAGAGCCTTTGTGATTTCGTCAGGATCAAAAGATTCTTCATCGGATTCATCATTCTCAGCAACTGTGGTACGAACCTTGGCCTTTAGCGCAAGACCTTTCCCTTTGCTTATCCTCATAGAGTCAAAGCCATGGTTGATTTCAAATGTGCGAAGTTCACTTAGAAGATCATCGATGCCAAGCTTCTGAATCTCTGAAAACTTTCTAGTGCAGTAATTTTAATCCCAAATCTGTCCGGTAGAGTTCTCATCAGTTTCTGCACTTGTCTAGCTTCTGGAACTGGCTCACCAAGCATTGCACTTTGATTAACCAGATCGCAGAACCGAGCATAATACATGTCAATGGTTTTATCCTCCCTCATACGGATCTCATCAAGTTCAGTTGAGACTCTTTGGAGCTTTGATGTTTTAACTGCATTCGTGCCTTCGAATTGTCTCTCTAAGATCCTCCAAGCTTCTTGAGCAGTCGTGCACTGGATTATTATCTTGTGCCGGGTGGGATCTACTGCAGACATAATGGCATATAAGGCTCGAAAGTTAGCCTCTTCTGCTTGCCTTTCATCGTCGGTCCAGATGCTCCTTGGTTTCTCAACCAGTACTTTGGTGGTTGATGACTTCTCATCCGATGACTCACCACCCTTAGTTTCAGCACGAACTTTTTCTTGAAGTGGTAAAGTCCAACCATTTTCAACAGCCTGCCATGTTCCTTTACCAAGGGATCGAAGGAAGATCACCATCATGGATTTCCAGTACGAGTAGTTAGAACCATCAAGAAACGGAGGGCGCGTAACAGACATCCCATCATGACTCATGGTGCCCGATACACACTCCCAAGGATTTTTATCCCGTAGTTAGAACAGGAACACTGCTCTGGTGCCAATTGAAACGTATAATTATCACGGAGTGCGCTTATTGGTGGTACGAACTGTAATGAGAACTGAAAAATGCGGAAGCAATAAACCGAAGATTTTAAAAACTCTTCAGGGAAGCATCCCACTTCCCCTCAGAGCTCTTTCATTGATAGATCAAACATACACATAGCTTGGACTTACAACGACTCGAACTCCCTTCAAGCCTAGCCAACACTACACAGATCCTATCAACTAATTCTCCGGCCACGTCCCGTGGACTTTAATAAACTACACTTACTCCCTAAGTGTATAAGCTGTAAAGTAGTTTTGGATGAAACACAAAGAACTAAATAAAACAGCTTCAGTCCTTGAGTTAGTTCGAACTCTCAGACTGAACTGTGTACAACTCAACTTAAACAGAAAATACGAAGCTCAAATATTGCTCTAAAGATCTTCAAAACTCAGCAGCAGCAATGAGAGCTTGCATACGGGTATTTAAAAAGAATCTCCTTAGGGTTGGAGTCTTCTACAAGGCATAGGACTCCAACCTTAATTTCCTTCCATATAAATAGCTTATTTAAGGTAAGTAGATCTCCTCTTCTCTCTCCATAATCTCCCCCACACGCACGGCTCTCCTTTCCTTTATCACTAGCACTTCCAATTTTCCTACAAAATAAAATACCATAATAAGATCCACAATATCTTATATATGGAATAGAATAAACTTAATTAAGGAAATAAAATAATTGAAGATCTTCCCTTTTTTATGTAGTTCCAGGTGCTTGTTCGAACCAACGAACTAATGCCAAAATAAAATATCTTTCATATTCTAACATTTGGAGTAAGTGTTTTGTTTATATAAATGTACTATATATAAATAAAAGTTTTGATTCAATTAATACAATTGTATTGTTGGTTTCATTCTATGGGACTGTGCAATCGTACTCGATTGGTTGTGACTAAACTCTCTACTCATGTTCTCGAACGCAAGATATTGACAGGAGATCACGCTGGCGAGAAGGTCTTGATTCCTAGGATGAATATCATTTCATCCGATACTAGGATTCCATTTAAGTTCCAACGGCGACAGTTCCCACTTATGGTTTCGTATGCCATGACAATAAACAAGAGTCAGGAACAATCTATATCGCACGTTGGTCTTTTCCTGAAGAAACCTGTTTTTAGTCACGGCCAGTTATACGTTGTTGTTTCACGTGTAACTAATAGAAGGGGGTTGAAAATATTAGTTTGTGATAGTGAAGAGTTAGCAAATAATTAAACTCATAATGTTGTGTACAAGGAGGTTTTTAATAATATATAATTGTGAAGTCACGAACATTTTATGATTCAATAATGTTCCTATGTATTTTAATGATTTCGATTTTGATCCTAATGCAAGTCAAATTATATTATTCTTGAAAATTATACAGCCCGTGCATCGCACGGGGGTGGCGTACTAGTATATATATATATATATAAATTTATACTTAAAAAAAAAAAAACGAACCGGAACCGGCGGGTCTGACCCGAACCCGACTGAAAACCGGCGGTTTTTAGACCCGCCGGTACAAGGCCGGTTCATCGGACCGGCCCTTAGTTCCAACCGGGCCGGTCCCAGTTTGCCCATGCCAGGACCGGTGGCCCGGCGGGCCGGGCCGGGCCGGGCCGGGTCGAAACCCGGCACCTGGCCACGTCTAGATGGGTTATTTGAACTAATTTCCACATCTGAAACAGCTCACTCACTCAATCTCCGTCTCCCCACTCAATAAAAATCACACACACTCCCTTGTCTTCCTTCACATCACCTTCGATACTTTCGTTCTCACACACGTATGCACCGCTCCCATTTGGCTTCTAATAAACGTCTCTCTTCAATTTAAATCCATACATTAAACGTCCAGAAGACGAATCTGGACAAATAGCAGTTCCTCCAAAACTTTTTTTTTTTTTTTTT